CACGCCTGACGTGCTATTCTTGTCCAGAACGCACAATGATGGTGAACTATAAGTTATCTTTTCTTAAAAAGTTCTCGCTCACTGTGACATGAATATGCCTTCTGTTCGTTACGACATACTGAAGCAGAGTTTTACAAATAGCATGGCAACATTTAGCTACGAGAGGAACCATCATCCAAATAAACTATACTTCCTTGGCCTTTATGGCAAAACCTGAGTCAAGAACTGTGGGAAGAGCTCAAGCAAATGCACCTTACCTCATGAATCTCATGTTGTTTCTCCAAACATTCGGTCATTTACAGTGAGAAACTGGGAAAGGTCAAAGGTAAACTTATAAACACGACTTTGGCATTTACTGCTCTTCCTTACAGTTCTTGGATGGCTCCAATGTCTCTTCTGACGGGCTTCCAAAACTGTTTATTCCACCCGAAAGATCTCTTTCAAGCTAAATAGAGAAGCTGATGTATATTTGTCATTTTTATGTTTTTGTATCTGATATCCATCATACAATTGGTACTTTGTGTCTTCAAGTAAACCTGAAGGCATAGTTCATCCAAAAATGAAAACGTTTTCATGTTTGAAACACATGTTGCTCCAAACTATCTTTGTTATATGGAACATATTAAAAAATAAATAAATAAAGGTTATTTATTGGCATCTCTGGTTCCATAAAGAACATCCATGGAAACTTCCCATTGCACAAACAATATTTTCATAGTGGAAAAAAGATTCTTTGAAATATTAAAATGCACACTAAGAAAAAAAGGGGTTCTTTTAAGAACGGTTTACTAACACAGACTGATGCTACAATGGCATTTCTGAGAAAAACTTTTATTTTTGAGAGTGAATATAAAACTGTTTTTGTCCATACACTCTAAAAATAATGCTGGGTTGTTTCAACCCAAATTTGGGTCAAATATGGACAAACCCAAATGTTGGGTTAAAAATGTAATTTAAAATTTTGACCCAACTTCAACTTTCACTTTTAACTGTGAATTTTTAATGACCTTTTTAAGCCAACATTTGGGGTTTGTCCATATTTGACCCAAATTTGGGTTGAAACATGTTGGGTCAAATATGGACAAACCCAAATGTTGGGTTAAAAACGTAATTTAAAATTTTAACCCAATATAACTTTGACTTTCAACTGTGATTTTTTTAAATTAAATTTTTAACCCAACATTTGGGTTTGTCCATATTTGACCCACCTTGGTTCAACCCAAATTTGGGTCAAATATGGACAAACCCAAATGTTGGGTTAAAAATGTAATTTCAAATTTTGACCCAACTTCAACTTTCACTTTTAACTGTTAATTTTTTAATGACCTTTTTAACCCAACATTTGGGTTTGTCCATATTTGACCCAACTTGTTTCAACCCAAATTTGGGCCAAATATGGACAAACCCAAATGTTGGGTTAAAAAAGTAATTTAAAATTTTAACCCAACTTCAACCTTCACTTTCAACTGTGATTTTCTAATTACCCTTTTTAACGCAACACTTGGGTTTTTCCATGTTTGACCCAACTTGTGTCAAACCAAATTTGGGTCGAATATGGACAAACCCAAATGCTGGGTTAAAAATGTAATTTAAAAATTTTAACCCAACTTCAACTTTCACTTTCAACAGTACATTTTTTAATGACCTTTTTAACCCAACATTTAGATTTTTCCATTATTGACCCAACTTGTTTCAACCCAAATTTGGGTCAAATATGGACAAACCCAAATGTTGGGTTAAAAACGTAATTTAAAATTTTAACCCAACTTTTAATGATTTTGTTAATGACCTTTTGTTTGTCCATATATGACCCAAATTTGGGTTGAAACAACCCAGCATTTTTTAGAGAGTACAATGAAAGTCAAAATATGACTTTTCAAAATATGTTTTTCTCTGCTCCACTGAATAAAGATAGGCATTGAACGACGTAATATGATGAGAGAATATCCATTTTTGTTTGAAATATCCCTTTAAGTAATGAACAAAGGACTGGTGTGAACTCTTATGCTTCAGTGAACCCAAAGCTCAAAGGATGATAGGATAACAGAAGAGAAAACGACACAAATTTCTCCTCACCCAATGAGAGAGCCAGCGTTATGCCTTACTAATTTTTACAGTCGGGTTTATAAGGGTGGCCGAGGGGTGTGCGTATGGCGAGGCATCGGAGCAGGTATCTCAGGAGGTACGATTCTGCTGAAATGAGGGCGCCACTCGACAGGCATGAAATTTTACATTGGAGACAACGTTGGGAGAGCGTGAGGCTTTAGGATGTGCTACAATAACACAATTCCCTCTATCCCACATCCTAAAGCTCATATAAGTTCCCTCTTGTGGCTCATTACCACCTGTGGCTGAAAAAGTATGTTTATAAGCTCCAATCCCCGAAGAGAGGCTGCCATTCGCACGGCTTTACAACCCAGAGAAACTCGGGAGAGAGAGAGACGAAGGATAAATAATATCTATCATGTCATATATTTACTGTCCTTGCACATACGATCCCCTTTGCTGCTCCTGGAGGTGGTGTTATGGACTATGTATATCCACAGGACTATCACTTTCACAGTGTCTCGGTGCCCCCGCCTCCCAGCTTCACATAAGTCATTCACGTTGGGGCGATTTATCATCGTGAGTAATGCTCTGGATGAAGTGAATACAGGAAAGGAGGGGTGAGGAAGTTGTGGGTGTGGGACACTGCAAGACTGCCCAGATTCAGGACCAGTTGCCTTTAAATCAAACCCCATCAAGGGGCCGTGATTTGGTGCGGGGGGCCGATTTGGCGTGTGACATCTCTTGCAGAATGGCAAAAACAGCTTGGCTGGACACAGAGTATAGTTGTGTAAATGCTAGATTTAATCAGATTTATGCTTTTCAGCATAGAAGCAGTACATCTGTCTTTCTCAACCACGCCGACCCTCTTTTCTCCACGCTTTCAGTAGGTACGATGCTGTTGAATTAATGGAGCAGAGTGGAGTGTCCACATGGGAGGTTTTTCCTGCTTCTTTTAACGTCTTTTTTCATTTCGCATGTTCTCGTGACGTTCGATTTTGCCATATATTATTGATGAGAAAGCGTAGTACATTAATTGAAACCAAGCCAAGTTGACCCTTTACTATCTCTTACTGTTACTGTTGCTACTCAGCCAATCATTACAGAACATCATATTGGAAAGAACAAGAGATTTAAATAACACAATTAAAAGGAGTAGTTCACTTTTTAAAAAGCTTTTGCTGATAATTTACTCACCCCCATGTCATCCAAGATGTCCATGTCTTTCTTTCTTCAGTCGAAAAGAAATTAAGGTTTTTGATGAAAACATTCCAGGATTTTCTCCATATAATGGACTTAATTGGGCATCAAACAGTTTGTGACTCTCCTGTTCGAATCAAAATGAACAAATCTTTTTTCGAGTCATTTGGTTCATTCAACAAACGAAATGACTCGATTTTGATGAACAAATATGAACAGGAAAGTCATGAACGCGCATCACAGAACAGAGCAAGGCGATCATTTGTGCTTATAAAACTTAAACTTGGGTATTTATTTTTTAAATGAGCGATCGCTTTGCTTAATAAGACCCTTATTCATCATCTGGTGTCGTTTAAAGCCCTTTGGACCTTGAACCGTTTGGTTCCCATTGAAGTCCATTATATGGAGAAAAATCCTGGAATGTTTTAATCGTCTTAATTTCTTTTCGACTGAAGAAAGAAAGACTTTTTTTTTTTAAGTGAGCTAGTCCTTTAAAACTTTAGTTTAGGGTCTAATTCTCACTATGAACTAGTTGCTTTTTTACTTATTAGCATGCATATTACTGGGATATTAGCTGTTTATTAGTACTTATAAAGCACATATCAATGCCTTATCCTGCATGATCATTGTCTACATCCCTTAATCACCCAATTCCTAAACTTAACAACTGCCTTAATAACTAGTAGGCTAATTAGGAGTTATTTGAGGTAAAAGTCTTAGTAATAGTGAGAATTGGACCTGGTTTGTCACTAAAATCTGCTAGTGATAAGATTTAAGGATTTATTGCTATTTAAATGATCTTTGTTTATATGTCCAATACCTGATAAATGGCCGATATTAGAATGCCACTGTTTTTTGTCTAATTAAATGAAAAATAAAACACTCAAAACTCTTTTTAAATGGCAAATGCGAATTAAGGCAGCACAACATTACGTATATGCACAGTATGGAAATGTTATATTCATTTGGTATTTGCTAGAAATATAAAATCAACAGTGTTAATAAATGATAAAAACATCCAATGTCGACAGATGCCACAAAAAATAAAATAAAAGGAGAGCATCCCTATATAATATATCGCACCATCCTAAAAGATTATTATTCTGTGGATTGGAATGCATTATGGTATTATTGGTAAAAAAAAATAGGGCTGTCAAACGATTAATCGCGATTAATCGCATCCAAAATAAAAGTTTGTGTTTACATAATATATGTGGGTGCACTGTGTATAATTATTTTGTATATATATAAATACACACACATGCATGAATATTTAAGGAAAAAATATTCTTTATATATAAAAAATATTTATATATAATATAAATTATATATAAATCTATATACATGAAAATATTTCTTACATAAGCATGTGTGTGTATTTATATATATAAAATAATTATACACAGTGCACCCACACATATTACGTAAACACAAACTCGCGATTAATCGCGATTAATCGTTTGACAGCCCTAGTAAAAATACAGCAACGTGATTAAAAACTATAGCATAAGTGAACTGAACTAAACGGTCCCTAACATTTGCGACCTCCTTACTTACAGTGACCTATATCAATATGTCAATGAAATGATGTGCATTAACCTTGAAACAAAAAGTTTGCTTACTGATGAGCATTGAAAAGGACTCAAGAATCCAGGTCATGAACCTATTATCCAGTACTCAGCAGTGGACCTCAATGATATATCCACTTGTTCTGAGTAACAAAGATGAGCTCAGCCAATTGTTCTCACCTCTAGTGTTTATTGGGTAAGATGTCAGACGGGGTCGGACACAAAACCGAGGCGTTGAGACTGCTATAACAAGGCCCACCTGTGGATCATGCTTCCACTGTTAAAGAGAAAAGACAGAATAAGAGCGTTAGCGTGGACCATGATCTGGCAACTATAAAAAGAAACAAGCGAAGGGCCAATATTAAACTGACAGCTGTTATAAGACTTAGGAAGTCTTAATACAAAACTGATAGGGATCCTATCAGAACAACTGAACACAAATATGCAATACGGACTACATTAGTCATCTGGAGTGATTTGACTTTTCGGGAGTGTCACATATCTGCGCCGCCCCGTATACAGGAGTGATGGATCGCTTACTCTCAGCAGGCACTTCAGAAGAGTTTCTCTGATTACATAATTGGCTCACAACACCACAGGGAGAAGGTCTTGTTTGATATTTCATGTCTTTGGTGGGACTCGTTTGGCCTCGAGCGCTCCGCGAGTCTACGAGGGAAAGCGCCACTGTCCGTTCGGAGGGTTTTGTGTTTAGTTTGTCTTGGCCGCAGGATGCATATCGTTCCGATGACATTCTGCAGACACTTCCAGCTTTTTGTTTTAGCTCCATCCATCTCTCTGTCTGTCTCCCTCTCAACCCTCAAAGAAAGAGAGAGGCGAGAGTTATGTCTCCCCCTGTGTTCTCACTCACTCAAACCTGGCTCGAGAGTTTTGTGGAGTGGTAGTACGGGGTTCGCCGCGTCTCGTGGACCTCCTGACCCCCTGTTTGCTCCCCGGCCCCATCGACTGATGAGTGATGGCTAATAAAAAGGTCCTCTCTTGCCCTGGAGTGTGTTAAACATCTCGCTGGCAACGCAGAAGCCATTTCTCACTGTCTGGTTATCCGCACACGTTTGCATACCACCACCCTTCGGACAAATTAGAGGCGGCGGAAGGAGGCGGTACACAAAACCAAAGAGGGACGATGTGTAGCCTAGTTTTGTAAAAGTGTAAAACGGTGCAATTCTTACCTTAAAGGAGTAGTTCACTTTTAAAAAAACATTTCAGGATTTTTCTCCATATAATGGACTTCAATGGGGTCCAAACGGTCCAAAAGACACTGTTCAAAGGGCTTTAAACGATTCCAGACGATGAATAAGGGTCTTATCAAGTGAAGCGATCGCTCATTTAATAAATAAATAAATAAGTTTAAGATTTATAAGCTCAAATGCTCGCCTTGCTCTGTTCTGTGATGTACGTTCGTGACTCTCCTGTTCGAAATCATTCATCAAAATGAACGAACCTTTTTCTGAGTCAATTCCTTCGTTTCGTTCGTTGAATGAACCAAATGACTCGGAAAAAGATTCGCTCATTTTGATGAACGTTTGAAGCCCTTTGAACAGTTTGCACTGAAACTCTCATTTGGACCTTGAACCGTTTGGTTCCCATTGAAGTCCATTATATGGAGAAAATCCTGGAATGTTTTCATCAAAAACCTCAATTTCTTTTCGACTGAAGAAAGAAAGACGTGGACATCTTGGATGACATGGATGTGAGTAAATACAAAAGTTTTTTTTTTTTTTTTTTTAAAGTGAACTACTCCTTTAATTTCATAACAAATATTCTGGCATTTTCATCTCAGTATTGTTGAAAGTTAGAAATCAGATACTACTTATGCTTTCACTTCATTCAATTCATAGGGGGAAAAAAGCTCATCTCCGCAAGTAAAATTAGAGAGACAAACATTAACATGAATTTGCTTGACTTTAACATGCTTATTTGCAAATGCGATGACAAACGCATAGCTCACCCGTTTCAGGCCTGCTATTACACTCCCATGATCTGTTTGTTAGGACAGATGGTCTGGAGCACCTCCTCGCCTGTAAGAGGGATAGAAATGGGTTGCAAAATTACAAAGCCATTGACAAGGAAGCAAACGTGTGACCCATTCCTGAAGAGAGAGAGACACTTTAAGAGATAAGTTGGAAAGTTACTAATTTAATGTAGTAATGATTTCGACTGCTAAAAAGAAATCATTTTGTCGAAATCATTCTGATGATATAAATGTTAGTGCATACATCTCAATAGATATCATAGGCCAGACTGTGTCTTGAGGTCCGTTATGACGTGTTTTGCTACCAGGCTGGTATTGTGCTAGTTTTGGCCAATGTTTTATAGCTTTTAAAGCTTCTGCTTCCTTCCTCGGATGAAGTATTACAACTACTGTTTGTTATCGAGCCAAGAAATCACAGGTAACAGGGGCCATTCACCGTCCGCCAGAAGGAGGGGTTGCGCACTTCACGGAGAATTGACTTTATATTGAGTCTCATAAAACACTGCAAGCTTCTCAAAGACGTTTCTATGGAAGCAAATAAATAGATGTGTTTTTCCCCGTCCCTTTCTGGAGTCAGAAGCGAGATGGTCACCGTCCAGCCTGCATCTCTTTTGGCAAGGGATCGTCGGTATGTTTGGAAAAATACTCCGCCGAGGGTTTTTGGGTCATTAATAAAGCCTAATTGCAGCTAACCTAGCTGTTATCGGCTTCTCCTTAAACAAGCAATTTGCTATGAAATTCGAGATCCCGCACTCATTTCTGCTGTGTTGGTCAGTTCGGCGTTTATATAAACACTTTATAAATCCTTCATATGAAGACGTGCGAGCCTGCGGCCGGCCTCTGTTGCCTGCAGCTCTTTCTTCATGCTTATTTTAAAATGAGGCCATCTCAGATGTTTCTTATGGTTTATTGAGGAACCACAATCCATCGACAAAAAAAAAAAAAAAAAAAAAAGTCCTGGATTGCGATTTCTTGATTTGGACTTTAGAGTTATTGCCTTTGTCTGCACTAAGCAAAATGTACATGTTTCATTTCTAGGGGAAAGTTGAGAGAGACTGCCAACGACACTGAAAATTAGGCCTTCGTTTAGCAGGAAATTACAAATCCGCCTTTCAGACGACGGCATCCTACCTGTACATCACTCGCTAAAGACCTGGAGGAGATCGGTCACGGCCCGACACACGACAACTTGGACCGTTTATTCCTCATTTACATTAAGAGTGATGTTCTACGTAACATCTTCCACGTTCCAACTTCATTAAGGGAGTGGTTTCACTTAAAAAAAAATACTATATTTGATTACGGGTCAGTGACGTACAGAATAAAAGTGCAGTTACGTTTGACATTTGCTTTTTTACTTACTTTTTTATTTTGTAGGCAAAATGCCACACACTGTAAAAAAAAGAAAAAAAGAAAAAAATCCGTTAAATTTACGGGAAAAAACTGGCAGCTGTGGTTTTCCTGTTAAAAGTACGGTAGCAACATTTTAGGTTTAACCGTATATCATTTTACAGTATTAAACCGTATTTCACTATCTGATATAATGTTAATTTACTGACCTTTTGAAGTATTAATATCTGTTTTTTCCAATCTAATACACTGACAGTCAACAGCCATAGCAGTGATGGGAGTCTAATGATCAATAAAAAAAAAAAAACTGTAGTTTAAAAAATATATATATTAAATGTGAAGTGTCACGAATTGTGGAAATGTCAATTTACATTTTTTCACTTTATTTATACAATGACTTGTTCTTTTTCACTTATAAAAACTGTCAATTTAACGGTATTTTACTGTAAAATTACAATAAATGTACCATGACATCTATCACAGTTATTTACCGTATATACTTTCTGTTTACCAATTAACAGTTTTGCACTGTAGCATTTTAAGTGTTTTACCGTTAAAATCACAATCATTTTTTTTTCTTTTTACAGCAGCCTAATTTAAAAGAGCACTGAATCTCTGGATCAAAAAACAGGGGAAAAAAAGAAGCAGAAACCATTTTTATGCACATTTTAGTCTCAGCTTTTTGTTCAAAATGCTGCTTTTCTTGACACTTAAAATGTCATGTGGTGTAACCATCAAGTAAAAAATAAAAAAAGTAATTAATTTTCCTTATTGGATACATGTGAGGGTACGCATTTCATAAATGTTATTGTTCATTAATATTTAATGTTTTTGGCAAGTCTCACCAAGACTTGTTGACCTTGACACAGTAATTGTTCTTATTACATATTAAATTATCATATAATAATATTATATATATTTTGTGGACAAAAGATAGTCAAATCTTTAAAAAAAATAGACTAAAAAAATTGTTTTAAAGGGAATAATAATAAAACCTCAAAAATGTATTTTAACTAGGGCTGTACAACGATTAAACGTGATTAATCACATCCAAAATAAAAGTTTGTGTTTACATAATATATGTGGGTGGGTGCACTGTGTATAGTTATTCTATATATATAAATACACACACATGCATGTATATTTAAGAGAGAATATATAAAAATATTTATATATAATATAAATTATATATATTAATCTATATACAGTAGATACATGAAAATATTTCTTAAATATATACAAGCATGTGTGTGTATTTATATATATATAAATTATACACAGTGCACCCACATATATTATGTAAACACAAAATTTTATTTTGGACGCGATTAATCGTGTGACAGCCCTAATTTTAACACAAATTCCAGTAAAACATGCTCATGTCAAGTCAAGTATGTTCATAAAAAGCTTTTCACAATATAGATTGCATCAAAGCAGCTTCACAGTATCAATCAAAACATAATAACAATGTCCGTTTCTTAGTGGAAAAATATCCACATTTAAACGAAAGTATACTGTATGTATGAATTGCATTTTATTTTTAATTTTATTTTTTTAAATAAATTAATAGGGAGGCCAAAGGAGGCCAAAAAAATCCCATCAGTGACCCTTGACCTCTTAAAAACACACCGTTTGCTCAGATCATCATTCACTCCAGAGCTGATCCTCAATCCTCATTTGAGGCTGGGAGTTTGACGAGGATCCAAGAGAATACAACACATGGCATATAAACTACAGGCCAGCCGACAGGGGACCCATCCGAAAATCAGCGCTACATCAGGGCCGTAACCGTGAGAGGAGATGAAAAATGAAAAGTTTTACAGCCTATGTCTTCCATATGAGGGCCGCAACCCCATGATGGACGCTTGCAGCTGTGGGACTGTGGGACGCGCTGGGAGTGATGATTTGCATAGCCATTGGTCAACAGCTGCTGATGTCATTAAGGGTGACTGAGAGAGGTGTATTCATCCGTTCTCCAACCGGTCTTTGACCACCAGATCCTAAAAGTTTTCAAAGTTGCATTTCTAAACTGGGCTTTTACTTTCACATGCTATCAGAATTACCATGTGAATTTCCTAGATGAAAATTGGACATGAATAATGCTCGGGATGGGCGTCCCATGTTTTTCCACAACAACTACATCGCCTTGCCTTCCTGTTAAGATTTTAGGCAAATAAATAAACTAAAAAAACAGGAATGATTTCTACTCTTTCCGACAACAAAGCGTTTGACGCGACTTCGTGTTTGGGAAGTAGGAAATTTCCGATGGCGTGTGAAGATGACTGATCACAGAAACCAAACGCCAATTCAAGCACGTTTTTAACAGCAAAACAGTGTGAGATAAGATGCAAGTTGCTCAACATTTAGTATTTGACAGTAACCCCAATAATACCCAGTTATGCAAAGTGGCCAACGTTTTTGTCAAATTTTTCCATTTAATCGAAAATATAGGCATTCATAATTGAATATGAAGAGACAAGAAGCATTTTTTGCCTTTTTTAACTGGTGTGAGTATTTTAATTTTAAAAGAAAAATATTTGCAAATTGTTCAAATCGATTACTTTACAAAAATTCTTCTTATAATGTTCTGATTTCTTTTCTTTTCTTTATTCCCCTAAAACCATTTAACCTTTAAATGGTCTTGGTTTCCTGTTTACACTTCTAGGCTTCGGGGTCTATACGACCCCAACAATTGATTTATAAAGAACAACAATTTGTAAAGTAATTTTACAAAAAATATACATTTTTAATCATACAAATATTATATCATTTTTTTTGTTTACTTCTCATTTATTCATTAATGCTGTGTTTTTGCAGATATAAAGTACATTTGTATCCATATACCACACAATTACTCACACCTTTAGCTTGCATATGAAATATTATTTTTTTATGATACATTGCATTTATACTCTAGTACTAGGCCTTCATTTCTGTGCAAAAAAAAAATTCAGATTTATGCCTTCTTTTTCTGACACATGAAGAAAATATATTTAATTCATTTCAATGTGGGGTCATATTGACCCAGAAGACCAGAAGTGTAAACATTTTTTTACATACCTTCAGAACAACCGAATCAAGCCCAGTTTTTTGTGTTTGTGTATAGATAGATAATGTATGAAAAGTCACAAAATCTTATTCCACTGAGATGAAGGGAACCTTTTTTTTATTAAGTAAAAGTCGATTGGGGTCGTAGACCCCATGACCCGATTAAGGACTACATCATTTATTTAATTCCTTTAAATACAATGAACATTACTATTTATTTAAAAGACCCCTCCCAAAAATGTTCAAGACATGATTACACTCTTGCTTCTGTAAACTCCCATAATTCTCTTTTAGTGTTGGACAAGCTTCTTTCCTCGAGGGAAAAATCCTAATGTATTTAATATCTCAATTACGATAGGCAGGATTCCAGATCTCGGTTAGAAACCGGTCTTGCATCACTGAAACGAGACGAAGTGTAAACTTCTGACCGCATTGTGAAAGCACCATTTACCGAAGGGAATGAGATCTAAGATTATATGCAAACGGTGAACTTTTCTCTAATGGATGACATAAACGTGCAAAAAAAAAATGCAACGATAGTCGCTCAAAAAGGGTCGGAGAAAATGGCCCCTATTATACCAGAAGATTTACTGTGGGCAAAGCTCATTAGACTCAAGAAACTAGTGGAGACGCAATGAATAATGGCTT